GTTACATACTGAGCTTGTCGTGACATATGCCACGGGTGCACAGAACGTAGGTAGACGTAACACATAGGATTTCAAAGAAGTTATGTTATAATGATAGAGCTCCTTTAGCTTGATGAAAGCTGACGTATACTGTTTGCGTTAAAATTGTACACACAATAGCATTACCTCTCTGGTTAATATGATATAGCTATCTAAGTTGATGTACTGAAAAAACCAATGCAGAAGATGCCAAAGCTAACAGTACACCCTTCAAACAGATAATACAATTGAACTCTCAAAATAAGATTTCACTCTTGGGTTTGAAATAAAAATGTCAGCTTGATTTGATACAACCCTCTAAATACCACGGAAAGTGTTTTTAAACTTCAGAAATCACTAAATGTCAAGGGTCATTTGACATTCCTGCTGCCAAGGGAGCTATTGAGGGTTTGAAATTGCATTCAATCATACATAAACTCTGTATATTGTCTCAGTTTGAGGCCAATAAATTAACGTTAGCCATACATACTACACGTAAATACAGTCAAGCTGTTTATGAGGACATAAGAACACCCATGATAGACAGGGCGCTCTTTTATTATATAGATAACTTCATTTGTAGTTTTATGTTGCTTATTAAGATATGTTCTTGCAGTTCTTTCTAAATGTAAATCTCACAATTGAATCCCATGTTGGCAATTGGGAAGAGGAAGACCCATCAAGCCAACAGGTGGCGAAAGGAATCCTAAAATTGCCTATATATTTATCTGTCTACATTACCGTTTTCATTTCTGAACTGGCATCCTTTTACAACTCAAGGTATTGCCATGTTACCATTTTAGTTCCCTTTATGATCTTAAGCTTAATGTGCCTCAGGGCTGTAAAGCACAAATATTTATAAATAAGACAGTGAAGTATAAAAGATCTTAGACGGGAGGTCATAGTTTTAGTTTTTATTGATAAAACGGCCTTAGCAAGTTTAAAAACGATATAAAATGTAACGGGAACGACATAATGTGTATGATATTATACACTCAACCATAATGTTTAGACTGCTCTGCACTATTAATGAAAAATCCAACAGTTTTACTGTAAATTAACTGTTCATCTGCGCCTTCGTTATGGCCTTTATGGCGTCATAAATATTTGTTTACATCTTATAACAACATGATTGTGTAATAACATCGCATAACAGCTTGACTACAAGTAATGGGTTTATAGAGATCAATGTATGTCCTTTTTTTTTGGGGTGTCTTCTGTTCATGTTAATGTTTTTTTATCAACTTTAAATTCTTGGAGTATTAACACTGGTATACTGTAAAAGTGCCATTTTTGTTCGATATTTTCGCATTGTGTAAGCGCGATAACATCAAATGGTGAATATGTTTGTATACACTATAGGTGAGTGCCAACCGCAATCACTTTAAGAGTCACAACGCGAAGATTTCCACACACGAAAAGTTCTTTTCTTAAATTATTTAACTTTTTTTTTTTTTTTTTTTTTTTTTACCTTACATCGTTTTGTATGTTCCTAATGGCCTATCATCACTAGAGATGTTACGAAAATAAAGAGTGATATTGTAGGCAAACATATACTCTCAAGATAACGACAAAGAAAAAGAAAACTAGCCAATATACCTTTACCCTTAATGTAGTCGCCATTTATATTCACTAGCCGGTGTTCAACACCCCATTACGTGTCGCCATACTTATGGGTCGGTTGTCGCCACTGTATGGTTTTACACAATATGAATACGATCATGTTAAAACACTTTCTTCTGTTTTCATGTTAGCGTCCTACTCTTCCAAATTAAACTCTTTAAGTTGTGAATGAGGGACAAGTGTGGATTTTGAAAGCTATGATTTAAGGAAAGCATTTTTGAATTAGAAAGACAATATTTATGTAACGCTTGACGTCATGGTGAAGGATAACACCCCTAAGGCGACACACGTGATGCTGATCATGCTGGAATTGTCCAAAAACATTATTATTCGCAATAAAAGCTTTTTATAGGAAAGGTGTATTTTCTGTGTTTTGATGAATTATTCAGACCTTTTCAGTGGTCATTGGGTTCCGTAACAGTCAATTCTGTCGGCTGGTCTCCATCTTTTAAAGCATATTGACGATTTCCTCCAATAACGGATCACAAAATGTCCAATTGCCACACTTTGAACGACTGTCATTACGCACTGTTAATGTATACATTCATACCAGCGGCAGGCATTATACACTGTAATTATATTAAATACATGTTTGTGTCTCTTTATGCTTTTTTCATCGGTAGCGTTTGACATTTCATGTTAGTCTCTTAATAACTTAATCAGGAATAATTAAAGTATACTTTACAAATGAGGAAGCTTTTAGCTTTTACGACATCATCAACCGTTACAAAAACAATTCGTTACATCTGAATCATCGTGAGAACTGATTATTCTCTAAATACTTTATAAAAGTCAGGTTGTTACCATATGACTGACACAGAATACGACCTGTCCTTCCAGCAATTGCTATTCGGTTCAATTGTCAACTATACGTATCGGGATCGGGTAAAATAAAAATCACACATGAAAGCGCATAGTTTCTGATGCACATTGCCAAATTATTCAGTTTTAAGAATAAACTAATCATTAACGGTATGGGAAGACAAACCATCGAGTTTTACCCATACTCCACGCTATCTGTTTGATAAGCGGAAAAGGTCCCATTCAGGAGACATCAAAACAAAAAGGAACACATCATGGACCATCATTAATCACAGAAGCGAAAAAATGTGTTTCGATTATCTAGTTGTAATCATGTTGACTTCCGGCACCTTTTAATGTTTATCTTTAAAGGTGTTGCAATACGCCTGGAGTTTATCACGATATTTTGCTACAGAGATGAAATATATTCTTATATTTACCACGATATCCTGTCACAGGAAAAGTGTGCTTAATATAAAGAGAAATGCTTTCAGAATATCATCAAACTGAACCATATATCACAAGGATCACATAGGTTAAGATTTCATTTTATTTAACTAACCATTTATTGTGAAATCTCAGCTTCTTCCCAATAGTAAAACCCTGTGTAAGGTAACTGGCATGTGTTTGTTAGAATGTTTAGCAATTGACAGTTAAGACATCCTACAGATACATCACAGTAAGATTCTTTTAAATATTGTGATGCAACAATATTTCTCTCTGTATTGTGATACGATACGATATGCCTGTGTATTGTGATACGATACGATATGCCTGTGTATTGTTGAATATCGGTTTGCCTATATATTGTGACAGCCCTATTCATCATATTAATATCGATGTTCGGACTAAGAATCATCACTTCGCAGTTAAGGAACGAACCCACATCACGTTATAAAAGATATTTCAACGGTTTAGCAGACTGAAGCACTGAAAGTAAGGTCAAGCGTGGTATCCGCGTCAACGTGCTTATGCATTTTAAGCTTGTATTATTAGTCGTTTTAGTCTTCAATTTGTGACAATGCTTTTTAAAATGCTTGAATGATGTGACAATACAGTGTGTTGCCATCATAAGACTTAATAGATATACTATACTGCCTTACTTTAACGAAATTCAAGACTGCCACTGAGATAATATTATTCGCTATCAACAAGTAATGTTGATCGCAAGTAACATTTTCTTGTTATTCGCTTGAAGACGGCTGGAAACATATTAACCTTTAAAACGGTTCTTTAAAAGGAAAACAAAAATGGGAATATAAAATGTAGGTAAAAAGAATATAAGCACGTGAATCAATTGCATATTGATTGTCACTTATATAACCTATGTAACATACGGCAGTAACAGATTCAGTCGACAAGCAATGTTGGATTTGTATGTATTTAATGTTGACATAACTGTGTTGCCGGCGTGTGCTGTGTATGGTAGTTATTTAGTTAAACTGATAGAGATGGCCCGTCTATAGAACCATCCCGTACAACAAACATGTAGGTGAGGAAAGGCGGGGAGTAGTTCTCATGATATGGATCACGTCTGATTATAGACTTAAGGCATCACATCTCATTATGTGATTTAGGTATCACGTCTTATTATAGAATTTAGGTATCACGTCTTATTATATAATTTAGGTATCACGTCTTATTATAGACTTAAGGCATCACATCTCATTATATGATTTAGGTATCACGTCTTATTATAGAATTTAGGTATCACGTCTTATTATAGAATTTAGGTATCACGTCTGATTATAAAATGTATGTATCACGTCTTACTATAGAACTTATGTATTACATCTTATTATAGAATTAAAGTATCACGTCTGATTATAGAATTTATGTATCACGTTTGAATATAGAATGTATGTATCACGTCTTACTATAGAACTTAGGTATCACATCTAATATAAAATTTAGGTATCACGTCTTGCTATAGAATTTAGGAATCACGTACATGTATTATTATATAATTAAAATATCATGTCTTACTATAGAATTTAAGTATCACATCTTATTATATAAATAATGTATCACATCTTACTATAGAATTTAGGTATCACGTCTTATTATAGAATTTAGGAATCACGTACATGTATTATTATATAATTAAGATATCATGTCTTACTATAGAATTTAGGTATCACATCTTACTATAAAATTTAGGTATCACGTCTTACTATAGAATTTAGGTATCACGTCTTATTATAAAATTAAGGTATTACATCTGATAATAGAATTTAGGTATCACATCTGATTATAGAATTAAGGTATTACATCTGATTATAGAATTTAGGTATCACATCTGATTATAGAATTAAGGTATCACATCTGATTATAGAATTAAGGTATCACATCTGATTATAGAATTAAGGTATCACATCTGATTATAGAATTAAGGTATCACATCTGATTATAGAATTAAGGTATCACATCTGATTATAGAATTAAGGTATCACATCTGATTATAGAATTAAGGTATCACATCTGATTATAGAATTAAGGTATCACATCTGATTATAGAATTAAGGTATCACATCTGATTATAGAATGTAGGTACTAACCTGAGGTGTAGATCGTTGGACACGTTTCGGCTGGTTGTCTGTGCTGCTCACCGGAGTATCGTGCTTGACTGGTCCGCAATTGACCAATGTCGTCCAACAGAATATAGTCACAATCACAAACTTGGTAAACATAGCGATGTTCTTCTAAGTTCTGATACCGTCCTCAGAGTACAGTTCCGGATGATCTTCGATTTTGTCTTTTTTCTTCAATACACACGTCTTAGTTAAAAAATGTTTTCTTGAATACAAATAATTCTTAAAACGAACTGAATTAGTCAATTCTTGGTACTAAAAACTTTCGTTGCTCTTTGTTCAGGTTTGAAGAAAATTAATTAACTCTGGTCTACATAGGTAAATAATTTGTTTAAAATCCAAAGGAATTTTGTAAAGATTCCATGGATGTCCAGCTATCAGTTTACGTTGTGTGTGCAGCGTTGGGAGGGTGTTGGGTTTTCGTATAGCATGTTATCTGGTAATACCTCCTCTGGTCCGTGTGTCAATCCGAAGTGGACAGGGCCCTTTAAGTAGCTGAGCTGAACCCCCGCACTGTGTTCTAAGGTCAACTATGTGCGTTCGTTTATACACAGTTATCTCATTGTTTCTGTCGCCAAAAGCCGACGGTAAACATTTCTAGCGGGACATAATGTATCCATGTCACGTGGTTTGAACACCACCCCTCCTTACAGGTAGTCGTTATAACGACGTAAGCATTGATTCGGTGACCATAATTAACATAACTTTAACGTGTAATGTATCCCAACACATAGAAGCTGTCAGGTAATCAGTGGCCATCGATTTGGAGACATTGATTAACATATAACACTATCACATCCTATACTTTCCACGTGCGTACTACACTCCATTGTACAAACCGTACAGTCGCGATTCAACATCAGCAGCGCCGTCAGCCAATCACATTCGGCGTTGTAATGGCATATTAGGGGTGGCGAATCACGGCATACGTGTGGCAGATAGTAGGCATGGTTATCGCCTTCAGCGCTAGGTCTACGTATAGGTAGTATCAGTCTTAGAATGTCAGCACTAGTCATAAGTATAGAGCTCACAGAGAGTCAGACAAATGTTATCTTAATCAGAGAAGGGCAAGAACGGCCGCCGTCTCGTTTACAATTCAATTAACCTCATTTAAATAGTATCGTTTAACATTCTTCTTATCTTTACTTATTCAATATGAAACATACATGTACAAACATTTATTTTCCATAGCTGAACAAATAATAAACAAAACGTATTACGTTAAACAATATAAAGGATTCTATGATCAATTTATATTGTATTTTTGAAACATATTCAATGAACAAACTCTGATTTCGTTTCATATTGCATTACAACTTGTATTCTATTGTATTTTGTATCAATAAAATAAAACCTTCATTTGGGAATCGTATCTATAATTTGTCACTTTCGGACGAAGCATGTATAATCGCAATCATTCAGTCATTACATAGTTGAGTGCAGCGTACATACCACGACAGCTTGAGGTCCGATAAATAAAGCGAACAAGTATGAAAACGGATGTGATGGATATGATTTCTGATGAAAACAATGATTCCGTTGATGATTCAAGATTGTCGGTATAACTTCGACAAGATATGCATACAATTAACTTCTACTCTACTTGTATTATCACTGTTTAAGGGGCCGCTGTGGTCAGACTTACCACTAGCCCTCCACCACTGGGTCACGGGTTCGAGACCCTCGTGGGGTAGTCGCCAGGTACTTCTCGCTGGTTGCTGGTTTTCGCCGTGTACTCCGGTTTTCATCCACATCCAAAAACTTGTCCATACGGATCAATTCTCCACTGTACTGTAGTTTGTTCTATAACTTCCGTTTTGATAATATCCGGATAATATCCGGAGACAAGGTAGCTCAATGGATTAGAGCGATTATATATAACAATCTGAAGTTCAGTGTTCGAATCCTGTTATCTCTGTTGGATTTTAACACTCAGAACACTGTTGTTATTTATATTTTTGTTTGGCCTTAGCTGTTGAATAGGACGTTAAACCCTATAAACCCAAACCAATCTCATATAAATCCCGCAACGTATGTTTTGCTTTCAATATTTATTTACAGTTTTCGACAGTGGTACGGGGATCCTTAATTAGATGACCATAGCTATTTTGTAGCAGGATGTTAAGCTGTTGATTTATCACTATGTTTCGCGGGTTTTTTAACACATAGAACCCACGACACTGTATTTTGCTAAATATAACCCATATTTGTATCCTCCAATAATTCTTTTAAGACTTTGATAGCGAATAACGATTCGATAACACATTAGATTTCCCGTTACCTACGCTTAATTTATCAAAGAGCAATTGCTGTAACAAAGTGTGTTTTGTGATAAGGTTTTTGCTAAAATTCGGACACGAATAACGTTTTCACAATAATATTTTATTACTACTAAAGTAAACACTTTTTTACATGTACATAACAATGTATTTAAGGCTACTTTGAACTAATAAAAATGGAGATTATGTCACGGAATAATAAAAAAAAAAAAAGATATGTTACAATTGATCTCTATTTTACTTAACCGACACGATCTATAATTGCTGTTAGAATGGCTACGTCACGCAAAATGAGTGTAAACGTGATTTAGTCAATCAAGATGTGTCAATACGCACTTAAAGACTATGATTAGACGCCCAATCAATGTATTGCTATTGGGTTTAATGCGTTTGCTTGTACCCAAGTGTCCTGTCTTTGTTACTTCTCAAAAATGTCATGCTAGTTCTCGAGTCTGGTAGAAATAACGTCTTGTTGCACAAAATGTACATGTTTGGTGCAAACGGATCTTCGCTAGCCACGTGTTCGCTTCGTATACACTCGCGAACAATAGATGTTATCGCGACCATCCACGAGTTACTCCCCTTCGAAGAGTTCTTGCCGGAAAATGTACAAGTCTCGCGAGAGAATGCGAGGATACGGGGGCATGTGTAAACAATATGCCCCCCCTTCACTGTATTGAACCAACAAAATAACTAACAGGAATAGAGGTCACATCAAATGCATTTAGCAATGACATTCCAATCAAATTGTTCGTTCAAAACAAGCCTTCTGACATTTCATTTACATAAAGGTAACACACGATACTCTGTACGCCGCTGACGGTCCTTCACAACTGTGACGCTTTAGCTTCTTCCTCTTTTTCAATATCTGGCCAATTTAACATGTCTGCTTGCTATCATAGGTGTTCTAGCTCCCCATTATTCTTATTTGGAGTAGCTGATACCTTTTGACTTTAAAATATTACCCAATTCATTACATGGAAGTTCGTGGAAATTCGTATCTGAATGTTTTAGCGCTGCAATGTTGTTTATATATCCGTAGTATCTCAGTACTACTGTACATGCATGATTTACATTAGTATTTCAGTACTACTGTACATGTATAATTTACATTAGTATTTCAGTACTACTGTACATGTATAATTTACATTAGTATTTCAGTACTACTGTACATGTATAATATTACATTACATTACATTAAGTCTGATTACTTATTCTGTAGTATAATCACTACATTATCCCCTCGGGTGACAGTGATACCCTCGGGGTGACCATAGGCACGTGCACTGTCACATCTAATGAATGTAAAATTATATCGAAATCAATATGGCGGCTGAAACGATCCACACGTGCATCTTCTTTTCACGGTCAGTATTTTTCACTGTCACACACACTGTCACTCATCGCTAGGACGTTCGGAAGCACCTTTCCATTTACTCAATCCAGTGGTTACGCTCACTTTCGCTCTCTACTCCCCTGGAATATGACATAGAAAAATTGAAGGCTCAGTGTGCGCCACCTTGTTGTCAAACTTGACGAGACAAAAAGACTAGTTCGATCCTCTGATATACATCAAAAGAATCCGCGGGCAGGTTACGGTAAAATTGATTGGCTTTGAAGTCGGGCGTCTCGCCTTTGTAATCTTCAAAGGATAGGTATCAGCCTAGCGATTGGTCAGTTTTTTTTACCTTCAATTTTGCTATGACATATTCCAGGGGTGCAGAGAGCGAAATTGAGCGAAACCTCTGGATATCGAGGATGAAGCGAATGTGACAGTGTGAAATGAACAATTTCACTACCAATCAGATTACAGGATTTTCACTTGATGTATATTAATCTATTATAATTACTAACGGGGTCAGGCAGGAATTCGAACACTCCACCTTCGGTCGCTCTCAGATTACAGGACCAGTCTGACAAGTAAAATATACAACAGGGTTGTAAGGGGAGTTACTGTATGTATAAAACACGGCAGTGTAATTCTCTTATAAATTGCCTACAGAAGGCAAAAATCCAAAATTATTTTAAGGGGAGGTAACTATTGATTATTTGGCTACAGAAGGGACAAGGATCCTTAACGAGTTCACTAGAAATCAAATAAATAATATGACGGGATATTTTTGCATTTCCTTTCTAAAACTGTATTGAATACATTATATTGTTCAACTTAATGCATTTTGCTATCTAATAACAAATACAACAAAACCTAACTATGGACGGTACGAATTCGTGATATATAGAGCCTAACATGAACAGACAGGGAAGTCAGAAGTACTTACGGGACCCGGTTTACAGTGACGATACATCAATACCCCTATACTAATCGGTATATGATAACCCCACACGGCTCCGGTCATATCAAGCGACATGCATGTCCTGAAATCAATGACATTTTATACGTTTTTATTATTCATTAGCAGTTAGTCAGGTAATGTTTTAACAATAGCGACCAGTAATGACCAAGTGCATCAATGCATGTATATGTCACAGTTTTGAAATTAGAAACTGTAAAAGTTCTATATCGGAATTTAAAGAGCTATGAAATAACGGCCGATGGATGATATTGCCGAGGGTCCTCATGCCTCATCAACTTACCAAGTTATTATAACCTTCGTTTATTGAACCCTTTATAACAGAGTCCGGGGTTTCCGATGTGAATGCATAATGATAAAAAAAAGCCTTTATGCCGAGTCTCGTTTAGTGGGAATGCCATTTACACGTCAAATGTATAGTCACTTTGCAGATGACTGTGCCAAGGTCTCATTAGCACCTGTACAACATTGCTTCCTGGTACACATGTACATGACTTGCCATTAGGCAGCCTGTTAGGGATACACTATTTGGCGTAAAATTTTGTTTGTATGATGTTTTTGATAATAAACGTCACATAACGAATTCTCTTCTGACCACTAGCGCAATATCAATACCATTAAATGGTTTTTAATTATCAAAAATTGAGTCTAAATGACGATGCCATAGGAGAACTGTAGCACTGATATATTCTTATCCGTAAAACCACCGTCGACCGATACCTTCACTATATTGCCCTATACTGGGAAGCTTTCGCCCTTCCCTGGTAACGTCCCTGCTAATCCAGTGTTTAGTCAGCCCTTCGGCCATAATTCCCATGTACAGCGTGTTGCAACTTTACAATGGAATGATAGATTAGCCTTCGGAAGGCAAAAACATGTGAAAGTTAAGCCAATGCAAAAATATTTTAGCATAAAGTACAAATAAATATATATTCCATTACATGATTTTATATTCTGTTACTTATACAATATAATTCAATGTTATTGTATAAAACCGGACTGTAGCATGTATTGAATTTAAAACTCATCGGAAGGAAAGTTGATTAGCTTTCTATGAATGACATGTTTTTTAATGGCCTAAGTTTACCAGAACCTTCCTAAAAGGATGTATAAAAGTATTTGATTTGTACGTTATAACCTCACACCGACGAAACTATTGAGCACTCATTTACAATAGAAGGTTGCCAAAATAGTTTTAACATGGCCAAACAAGTATGTATATTTCAGGTACCTCGACC